TGTTACTTTCCTGTGTACTAGCAGAAAAGACAAAAATAATTCCCTGGCCTGCTTTAGGCACAGAAAGCAGCAAGACAGGAAAAGGTTTTTCTTTTTTTTTTTTTTTTTGTACTTTTTTTCTCTCACCCATGATGCACAGTGCTGGACACAACAATTTTTTTTTTTTTTTTTTTTTTTTTTTTGGAGTCCATTTCCTTGCTCAACCCTTGGTTGAGCTAAATCCCGTGGCTGTCCATAGCCTGTCAGCTTTACTTTGTTTCTTTTAGGGGAGAAGATAATTTCTTAAACTTTTCAACAAATTTTTGATTCACTCCTGCTCTCCCAGAGCTCATCACGCAAATACTTTCAGCTTTTCTTTTTCTTTGTTTGCATCCATTCTACTCTAGAAGAGCACTGTTTACAATTTTCTCCCTTTTCATGCTCTTTTATGAAGCTTAGAGCTTAAGGTTTGCAAGAAACTTATGCTGCTGGTAATCTCTCAGTTGTGGAAATACAGGGAGGTAACTGTTCGACAGGTGCCTGTACTGCTGCTGAGGCCATCTCTGCAGGGTCTCACCTGGCCTGGCTTGGGCCAAATCAGCAATAGGAAGAGGGGTCAGGCTGAGACATTTGAAGTGTGAAAGATAAAACCTTTTTTTCCTCACCCTGTTTGCTGAGAAACCTCACCTATCCAGGCAAAAAACAAAAAAACCACACAAAGAAAACCAAGCCCTCCTCTCCTCAAACTGCTGCAGCAACTTCCAGTTTTGTGAATTGTAAACTCTTCCTCTCTGGATTTAGAGGCATTGCTCTTAATGCTCCAAACTTCAGTACGTAAAGGGAGGCACCTGAATAAAAGAAGCCTGCCTTTCCAAAGAGTTAAGTGAAGGAAGATACGGGTGTATTTATGGCAGTGGATAAAAGAGTAGATTAAGGCATTTAATTTTACTTAGTGTGTAAAAATTGTGGCTGCAGTGACAGATTATTGCTGAAACACATCCATGAACACCTTTCCACTGAGTAATATTTCTCCCCTCAAAAGCAACAATAAAAAAAGTATCTAAGCTTTCCTCCCAGAACTCTAAAGATGCTCAAAGGTATCTCTCTAGTCTTCTTCCAATCTCTCCTGGACATGCTTAGCAGCACTCATCATTATATCTTCCCGATTTCCTGCCTGACAGTACGTCTCTAGTCCTACCTCAAAGGCGTCTTGCACTAGAGATTGTAATTTTGTGCATGTGTGTGCATGCATATGCGTGTGTGTGCACAGTACTTCTTACTCAGCAAGGGCTCTAGGGACACAACAGTAGCGTGAACATTAATTACAGAGTTCCACTATGAGATAAAATAATTTGTCCTGTTTGCTCTACTTCCTCAATAGATCCATGACCGACAGCTGCAGCTTTGTAATGATGGTGGGAAGACCACAATGTTTTCAAGGCTGGCAACAAATCAAAGTGGTGCTCTCTCTCTCTCTATTTTCCTCTTCCAAGTGCTGAGCTGCTGTGGCACCCAAAGGCAGCTTGGCTTTGCTGCCTCTGGCTGGAAACATTTTTTCCATGAGATTTTTTTTTCCACAAGAAAGGGGAAAAACCCCTCAAAAAGCAGGTTATGACCTTGTGCCAGCCTTCCTCTCTGTATCCAGAGAGATCTGTTTATTGACTCTTCCTTGAGCTCACGAGCCTGGAGTAACAGCTTTTCAGATCTGCTGCAGGCCATAACACCTTTTTCTGGCATTGTTGATTCCTTGTGCATAATTCTCATAATCTGTCATCTGGAGTTCGCTCTTGTTTTCAGTTAAAACTCCTGTATTTAGTCACATTTTTCAGTTAATACTTCTGTATTTAGTCACATTTATGGATTTTAGATTAAAAATATCTCACCCAAACCCTTGGCTCTAAAGTCATCATAGGAAACTATATGAGCACCAAGATGTGTTAATAAAATATCATCTGGACAAAGCAGATGAAAGACAAGCAGAAATAGACCGTTGCAATTACTTCCCCTGCCAAAACTCACTCCTGAGTTCAGTAGTTAGATAAGGTGGTTCATTCCTTCAGGTCCCACAGGTCATTCCTATGGTGATATCAGGATATATCAAAACATTTTCAAATGCAATTGTAAGACAAGACCAAGCAAAGAGTCATATCAGTTTTGCTAGATGGAGAATCTCTGCTTCCAGTAAATATCACTTCATTTGGGAAAAAACCTCCCAGTCTTTTCCCTTCAGCTGCTGCAATCACTACTAAGTGACTGTCATGACAGACAACACTTATTTCAAAACAACTCAGCATTTTGCTCTAACATGTCTATTAACCATATCCCACTGAGTCTTGAGCATCAATTTTAAAGTGTCAACCAGAGAATTCAGTCACTGTTGTGAAATGGTAAGCAAGTACGCATCTTTTTATTTAAACTAACAACAGTTGTCAAGCTCCAAGTGATGCACATATGATGAACACAAACCAACAGATACACAAAAGCAACTTTGAATATATGAGCTAAAGGCTTGAGCTGAGAAAGTTTTAAGGTGCATGAAAACGCAGGTGAGTGTTTTGCCTGCCTGACGATGAACTCCTCCCGGACCAATAAAGACTGAACACGGCAAAGACAGAATATTTGCAGCAGTCAAAGGGGTAATGTTATTGTTTGAGTGTCCTCTGCTGGACAGTACGCGGCATAGCTATAAAGCCAACAGCGTATATTGGATGGATTTTGCTTAGAAAACATCACTGCAAAATTCAGAATATTTATGTTTCATAGTCACCTAACTAAAAAAATCAGGTTTTAATAAAATACTACAACTCTGAGATTTTTAAAAACAGTTATTTCCTTTATGGTAACCTATTTGTAGTTTTAAGTTGGCATAAAATTTTCAGCAGAGCTAAGATAAAATGCTTCTTGGAAAAATACTGCTTTTGTCAATTTTGCGATGGAAAATTGTTGCAAAGACTCGTTTAGATAAGGTGGAAATGTTTCACTTAAAGATTTTGGTTTTACTGTGGAGTTTGATTGAATTTGATGAAATCAGAAACTGCTGTTAGTCTTGAGCTTGTCATTCCTGCGGCAGTGGATCCTACTGCATGGATCTGCGTACAGGATCAGCATCACATTTTGTGGGCCTTTGGCGTGTGGCTACTCTATCAGCAGTCGTCTTTGACCCCTTTAAAAGTTGCAGGCTGGCTCTATTGGAAATGCCAAAGCAGGTTTTCCTTTATCTATTGAGAATTTGGTTCAATTCATGTAACTTGTTCTGTCTGTTATTGGTAACCAGGTACATGTAAGACATTTTAATACTTTTACGTTAGTTTTTCTTGTTGATAACAGGTTTACTATTAGTTTTACTTTATGAACAGTGTTATTATTTATTATTTATTTGTTCATAATATTGTGAAAGTTGTTTCTGAAAGAAGCTGTCCAGACTTGTGTGACACTGGTCTAAATGGCTGTCTAAATACGCGATTCATTCTCTGCATCAGAAAAACCTGGCAAACGTTCTTTGATCTTGCAGTTATCTTCTTTATTCATAGGAACATCTTCTCTTCCTCCATTCTCAATAGGCTTGGAGTTCTTATTTTGAAAGTGCTTCTTTACCAATATATAAAAAAAGATTGCAATCAAGTAGGAAGGAGCTCTTAACACCGCTGGTAAACCAAGGTAGACATACCTGGGGGGTGGAGCATAGAAGAAAGTGCCAAGCACTGAAGTTTTCAAAAACACTGAAGAAAATCTCTTTAATGGCTTTTAAGGATCACATATATATGAAAAAGGCTTAGGGAAAAAATATTAAAACTCATTATTTGTGAATGGTACCACAAAATGGACATTTTTTTTGCTTGCAAAAACTTCTGTTAAAGAATTGATAATATTCTTTTTGCTTATGAAGATAGTTGCAAAGTGAAACTTCCATAATCTTCCCTTTGTTTCTGAAGATTTTGGTATCACTGTAAGGCCTTAGCCTTTTTAGGGCTAGAAGTATATTGAGATTGCCAGAATGGGCTATTGTATGAAAAAAAAAAAAAAATAAAACCACCACCAAACAACACCAAAACAAGGTTTGAGCGAAACTGAGAAATATCTCTGGAATACTCCTCCTGGAGACTGACAGTGCTTGTTTTTAGCGAATACCTTCAGCTGCTCAGTATGATTTTCTTTCATTTATTTTTCCCTCAAGTGTGCCCAATGCACAAAGTTAACATTCTTGCCAGTATGAACAAACTACCTGCAAATAAGGTAAATTCGGGTAACTTGCCTCTTGATGGTAAAACATACAATCCTACGTCTTTTAAATTAACTCAAATGATATTAAAAATACATAATTCATTCTAGAAATCTCCGCCATTGATATTAAATGATTTTTTGCACAACACAAAAACTGACTAAAAAACTAAGAGTTTAAGATTTGATCTTAAGATTTCTCAATTTCAGGATTTCTTGCCTGACCTAAATGTGAGTCCAGAGTTAGTATCTGAACATAATTTTTGATCAGTGACCTCACACACTACAGTGTAACAGAACAAAGCATGTCTATCTGTAGAGAGGAAATGCATGAGGCTTTTTGTTTCCTAATTTGCCTTACCTGTATGCATCAGAGTCATATAACCTGCAAGCCCCTCGCTGCCCACACCTTGTGCTTCCCCATTTCAAGCATGTCCTGTCAATTAGTGCACCGAAATAAACTGGTGCTGGAATCCCAGCTGCAAGGAAACAAGCAAAAATGTCACAAGAGATGACAGGAAAAAACACCTATTTAGAAATCGGCTGTATATTTTCATAGGGGCAAGTTTCAAGGTGCAATAGTGGCAATAGGTGGATTGGACTGTGGGGAGTTTTTCCTTTCCTTTATCAGAGTAACTGTAAGATGGGACACAGTCTCTGTGCCATGGGGATCATCTGTCCCCAGCAAATGGTGTCTTGATGGCTTTGACCAGGCTTGTAGTCATGCATATTGGTTTCTCCAGCACAGCTCTGAGAGCTGCCACTGGCTTCCAGTGTGTGCTAAGCTCCTGCAGGGGGGAGCAGGACTGGTTGTGCATTTGGAGCACTGAACTGATGCATAGTTCCCTTTTCTACGCATAACCTAAATTATCCACACTGGCTGATGGTCCCTTCTGCCTGAATGAGGGTGAAGCGACTGAAGTTCTTAGTGAGACTTGGCCGGTAAAGCTCATGCTTTACTACAAAACATGGCAGACACGGGACAAAATCCTAGCCTTGCTGAAGTAAAGATGAGTATTAACTTCAGAGGAATCCAGGTTTCAGCATGTACAGGACCATGTTTCACATTAGCTTTGTTCCTAGAGGAGCATCCTGCATCCTTGTATAGGAAATAATTTATTTTGTAAAAACAGGTACACTCTCAGCCTTTTCTACCGTAGGGCTCTCGTGAGAGGGTGAACTCAGAAACCAATCTATGAAGGTTTGTGTATTACGATAATCAGTGCTATAGTCACAGTATGACGGGACAAATGCCCATTTTGGAAGTTCCTTAGAGAAGGAAGCTGGGAGTACATCAGATTTGATCTCAGAGTCGCTGAAGAGAAATGTCAGCTTTTTTCAAACAGTGACAGTGGCTCTACCCCTTCTTTCAATGGAAGGAGCAGGTTGGTTCAATGTGCAGAAGACTGTAGAAAGGGGGCAGTTCTTTTCTCATAATGCTTTGTTTTATTTCCTATGGCCAAAATTCCTCCAAGAATCTGAAGGGCATTGCTTCTTCTGAGAGCTGGGGGAGAAATTCTGCCCCTCTGTTGTGCGATGAGAAAAGCAGAACAGGACAAAGTGTGGATACACCTTCCTGTCTCAAAATGTCCCATTGCAATCCTGAGTAGAGACTACACCCCTAACCTGTCTCTGATTGTAAGCATTTGTAAGTGGCTGTTGATTTTTTAGGCTTCATAGCAAACCCATGTGCCTTGTCTCTTTACGCACATTTCTCTACATTTCTGAAATGCAGATATTCCTATCCCACTGACAAAGAGAACAAAAGGAACTGGAGAGATGTTTTCTTGCCTGCCTGGGCATCTTCATCAACCATCTCATTAGCAACTCTCAAATTAAAAAGGAAAAAAAAGAGCACTGCAGTATGCTTAAAGGGAATTGAAATCTAAGCCATCATCTACCAGGAAAGGGAAGTTTTAACATGGAGAAAACACTCTGCTATGAGCAGAGTTGTATTAGTGTTGAATGAAGTCCTACTAGAGCACGTCTTTTTGATCTTACTTGCAGCATTGTGTCTGAGTGAGCTATTGGTTGAGTCACAAGTTTGAAACCTTGTAAAGTTGTTTAGAAATTGAAGGTAATACTTTGATTTTGCTTAGAAACTCTTCCCATTTTTGGAACACCAGGCTCCAAACTTCAGCACCATTTAATCAGCAGGTCAAAGATTTTCAGAATTGTGTTAGCTGGTTTCCCGATGAACTCTTGAATGAATATTGGGCCTTCAGGAAAAAAAAAAAAAGGCTCTTCAGGAACAGCCCAGGAGCTCACAGCTGTTTCAAGGATACATCTGGTGTACAAATGGTGGTTGCACTGGTGTCATTTAAAGCCATACAAACAAGAATCTCAGTCAGAATGATTTGTCTTACCCAGCATCCTTACAATGAGTGTGTATAGACCAACTGCAAGAGATTTCAACTCTGGCTGAACACATCTGAAAGAAAGAGGGATAAGTATGAAGTGTTTGCCTATCTAGTGCTTAGACATGCCTTTTAAACTGCCATTAATTATCCTGAATTTAATACTCTTAGTGACAGAAAACCAAGCTTTGGAAGGAGAGTGCTTCCTACATTTGCTGAAAATACGTTAAGTGGTATGAAAAAGGTGAATTAATCTATTGTTTTCCATCACATAGCTCCTGGGAAGTCCATTCCCTAAGCATAATTAAAGAAGTGAAACTTTAAAGTTGTAATCAGAGTTTATCCTAGCCTTATTGAAATGTGCTCTCCAACTGCCTTAACTCCCTGGCATGCATTTTCCTCACTTGACGCAAAACATCATATTGCCCTAAGGCAAAAATGTTGCAAGTAGCTGCATTAGTGTGGCATCTTTCTATTCTCAAATGGCATTCCTCTGTACAATGTCACATCTTGAACTACAAAAGCTGTCTGGCAATATGCCCATCTGTTTCACGGGGAACCACACTCTAAGCATCAGAAATGGGCACTGATCTTGAATGCATTATATATCCAGACACTGCCATCTCCTTACAAAATATTAACTTGGTCAACACTCAGAAAGATGTCTCTCAGAGATGAGGGAGGGAGGGGAGTTCACGTTCTGTTTTCCACGCTCATTTATAGTGACATAATGTCCTTAGGACTACTACTAAATTTGTCACTAATGCCTTTTTCTACAGGGTGAGCTTTCTCTTCAGGTTACTGAGATGTATGTGCTAATTTGTAAATGTGGTTCCAAATCACATGTGGTACAGCTACACCTGTGTACCTTGACAGACAGGAGCACAGGAGCCTCAGGCTGAGTCCTCAGATGTCCTGAATTTTGAGACATCTGAAAAGCACAATCTGTTAGGGCAACACCACATCCAAAAAATCCTGACAAATGCATGACATTTTCAAAATCCATACAGCCAGAATATCCAAGCAGAGAAAGAGGACTTGTTCTGGAAAACCTGGGCATATGACAGGTATGAGAGAAACCATTTTCAGTAGTTGGAAGGAACACACTAGAACCAACTTACAGACAGCAGCAAAGTCAGGTTTGATGCTAACAGCTACAAAGAAATGGGAAATGAAAAAACTCATTGAAGAAAGCATGTTATACTGCAAGAGAGATTTTTTTCCTAAGGGAAAGA